CTTTTAAATGAAACCAGAGAGCGTTGACAGAGAGGAGAAGGTAGAAACGACTATATTTATATTTTTTATCTATATTTTCAGTTACAGGTTGAGTCATTTCCACCTTCTCCTCTCTGTCAACGCTCTCTGGTTTCATTTAAAAGAGTCGATCATCAGATATTGTCCAAGATTAACCTTCAGGGTGGATATAGCTTGCTAGCAGCCTCGCACCGAGGACCTATCCACGTCATCATTTACCCAGAATGCTTTGTGTGTAAATAAATTGGCCCCGTCCGTGTAATATATTTTTAAACTTTTTGTTTAAAAATTATAAAAACTAAATATCCTACAGTATTTTTACAGTCTTTATTTTACAGCTGAAATAAATGTTTATCAAATAAAGTCTAATGTTACAACTAATCGTGGATCACTTTAAACTGTTTGTATGAAGCTGTGCAGATAAAGAGTTTAATACCGACCCGTAGATCAGATAGTTGTTTTCCCAACGATAACGCAACTCCAGAACAAACTCCTGCCAGAGGTGAGCAACAGCTGGCAAACCACCGTAGCTGTAGTTGACCATGCACAGACATAACGCCAAGCGGTGAGTCAGACTGTCAGTGGGTGCTGCCTTCAGCTGAAGGAACAGGTTCTGAAGGAAAAGAAGCCCAAACAGATACTAATCAACTCCAAACACTAAATACCAACAACCAAGAAGAAACCAAGAGAAGATGGCCACAAGAACATCATTCTTGGAATTTACCAACATGTAGAAAATATTAAAAATGCAGAAACCCAAGGAGTTTATTTATATACCATGTTTGTATGTTTTAATGCAGCTCAGGTAGGTCTACAGGTGAATGTTTCTGTAGCGTACAGGAAGTGTTTATCTGTGATGAAGACAGTTTTTAACATTACATGTAACAAAACTCAAAATAAAAACCCACACAGTTTCCCTCTTTTTTTAAGGACTGATTGGTTGAGAGGTGGTGTGTTGACATGAAACCATCAATCAGCATCTGCAGTAGCTGACCTGGGTAAGAACTGAACCAGCAGTTTAAAGGTACAGGTGTGAATACTCAGAGCTGTCCATCTGTGATTGGCTCAGCCAGGACAGGCGTTAGTGTCATGTATGAGTGGAGTGTTCGTGCTCAGGTGACCAAACGTACGTCATCAGGAACTTTCTCCGACTCTGTCGTCTTCAAAGGGCTTGAGTGTGCAGTTTTAGGTTTATTGTCTGAGGATTTCTCCACAGCAGCATCTGGGAAGAGGTACTGAGGAAAGAAAAAACATGTTTTAAACATTCAAGTTCAAATTCCAGTGTACTTTATTGTCAAAAATCTATGTAACAGGGTTAACACAGAAGTTGAAATTGTGTTTCACCAGTCTCCAATGTGCAGTTCAGCTAACATATAAACATAAATTTTTACCCGCTGTATTTCTACAGACAACATGAACAGAAAGATTAAAAACGATAAATTCTAGACCCATCATAAGAACACTGCATGGCAATGTTAAAGGGATCCATGATTAGTTGTAACATTAGACTTTATTTAAAAGACATATTTTAACTGTAAAATAAAGACTGTAAAAATACAGTAGGCTGTTCAGTTTTTATCATTTTTAAACTAAAATTTAAAAATATATTACACGGATGGGGCCATTTTATTTACACGCAAAGCATTCTGGGTAAGTGATGACATGGATAGGTTCTCGGTGCGAGGCTGCTAGCGAGCTATATCCACCCTAAAGGTTAATCTTGGACAATATCTGACAATCGACTCTTTTAAATGAAACCAGAGAGCGTTGACAGAGAGGAGAAAGTAGAAATGACTCAGCCTGGAACTGAAAATATGGATGGAGGACAACAGAGCTGCTTCATGGAAGAAGAACCCCAGCTTAGCCTGTTAGCTTTAGCATTAGCCCTGACTCTATATCCTTATATGTCTTAGCTCAGTGCTAGCG